TTTGCACACCATATCCCCGACGTGCGTCTCTAGGACGCCACCTACGCTCCCCACGCATCGCAACCACCTCTGTATCTTCTCAAACACCTCTCCTGTGATATGAATCCGCTGTGTTGTCAGGTGAAACATGCATGTGCCCAGCAAGCATTTGCGCTACCTGGACAATGGTGCTTTAGGGCACTGCTGGCTCGAGGTGGTAGCTCAGGGGTACGCCATCGGGGAAGGATGGGCCCCTGACCTCGTCGAACGTGCGTTCACAAACGGAGACAGGGAGCGCCTCTTCCGTATACGTACCGCTATTCGCAGTCTGACCATCAAGGTATTCAACGTGACCAAGAACCCCTTGATCCGCGAAGGGCTTGATGGCCCAGAGACTGCGTGCGATGAGGACGCTATCAGGAGGCTGGCCCTCAACTTCCACCAGGACCCAACTAACATGGATGACTTCCGCAGCGTCATCGACTACATGGACCATGATGGCGGTGGCGGGGGGCACGGTGGAATGAGGGCCATGCTCGCGCTTTGCGAGGCTTTCGGCTTTGACTTGGCCATGGGGCCAGAGATGAGCGGGCTGGTAGAGTACGTCGAGGGATCCACGGAGAAGTGTATGGAGCTCCACTGCAAAGGGCACTGGAACCTGGTCGTACTCAACGTAAGTCAATTGTGTGTTTTTTTAATGGTCTCGCTTGGTGTCGGGGTAAACGCTTAGAAGTGGAGCCTGGTCGTACTCAACGTAAGTTAATTGTGTGTTTTTTTGAATGGTCTCGTTTGGTGTCGGGGTAAACGCTCAGAAGTGGTGCTCGGGTGCAATGCATTTACATCCCCCTCCTCTGTTTTCATGTGTTATCAGTATGGTAATGAGGACGATGAAGCCACCACCAAAGTCGGGAGCGCGAGCGATGTGCTGGACTTTATCGAGGAGCGCGTCGACAGCTCCCTGGCGGAACTGGCTGCCACCCGCACGGGCGACGACGCCACTACTACGAGAGATGGCGCAAAGGTAATGTCCAAGTGTACATTATGTCGTCAGTGCGACCGTATTGTATTTCGCTTCAGAACCAACTACGTGCGGAGTAACGAGGCGAAATAACGCTGAAACAAACTCATTTTCCATTTTCCCCATTCTCTGCTCACGCCCGTTTTTTTTGTCTTATCAAGCCCAATGACATCGACGTCGGTAGCGAGAGCGTCTTCTCTGACTCGACGACCGCGCCCCCCAGCCCCGCCTCACCACCGGCTCTTGTGACACACGCCCCCATCCCGGAGCACATCATCGCCACCTGGAGCGACGCCGACAGCCCCGCCTCACCGCCGGCTGCCGCGACGACCGATCCGAGCTCTGAGCATCCGAGCCACATCTTTTCACGGGCCTCCTGGGCGTCTCACCCATGGGATGACGATGAGCACTGGGATGACTACCAGAAGTACCTCGGTCACAACAGCTTCTTCGCAGAGGAGGACGAGGAGGTTTGCTTTCGCGAGACGCTGTGGAGGGAGTGGACGCGGGGTCCGGAGGAGGTTTGCGTCTTCCCATCGGTGTGGTCCGAGTGGACAAGGATGCACCCTCGGCAGCACGGGAGGGTGCGCGGCAGTGGCGGTCGGAGGAAACGAACGAGGAAGAACAAGAAGCACCGGTTCCCGCGTCGCCGCCAGGACAGACGCCGCCGCGCGGCCGTGCGGCGCAAGCGGCTGGCCAGGCGTGCACGCGTGGGTGGACGTCACCGCCGGCCGCGCACCTGCTTCCTCCGAGGGGGTGCTCGCCCGGAACAGGACGAACAGGTGTGGATGATGTCGAGGGTAACTATTAATAGTAATAGTAATAAATAACAATGTTTTTCCGTTTTGGATGATGTCACATGAGTCGCGTGTGTCATCTCAATGAGATTCGCAAAATCACTCGTCTTTTCAGGTGACGGGGGAGGTCACGGAGCAAGAGACAGGACAGCGCCCGGAGGCCACCGTGGTGCCGAGCAGTCTAGCCGGTAAGTTTAGTTATGTTGTTCGTGTCAAACCGTGTCTTGTTGATTTGTGTTGTATAAAGCCGCCGCGATACCATAAAAAACAGAACACTCAGCGTTTCTTTCCACCGCCTCGACACTGGTACCAGGGGGGCGGCCCAAGAGGTCATGTGGCGCGCCAGTAAAAGGTGATGCACTCCGGCCGGCGCGGCTTACGTCTACCCAGCTGGACTTGCACCCCGACAACCGTCCAATAGTACACACCTCGAGTGGTCCCGTCCTATTGAACCCCGGAAGCCATGGTGGCGGCGGTGGCGCTAAGCCCAGGGCCGCCGGTGTCCCTGGAGGTCGTGGTGGCGGCAAACGCAAAGCCGCCGGTGTCTCTGCCGGTGGCGGTAAACGGAACTCCGGTAGCGGTGCCACTAAGCCAAAGGCCGCCGCTGTCCCTGGTGATGGCGGTGGTATCGAGCCCAAGAATCCCGGTGTCGCTGTAGATGGCGGCGTGGACTCTGCCGACGGGGGTGACACGGGGGTCGCTTCTATGGAAGTGGACGACGATGGCAACGGATTCGAAGATTTCGGTGATGGTGCCGCGGATGGCAGCGACAACGGCAGCGACAGCGACAGCGACAGCGACAGCGACAGCGACAGCGACAGCGACAGCGACAGCGACAGCGACGCAGAAGGGGGTAATGTTGGTGGTGACAGCAGTGGCAGCGAAAGCGGCAGTACCGGTAGTGGCAGCGGCAGCGGCAGCGGTGGCGGTGCGAAAATTGCCAAGCAAGCGCGAGTAAACTCCACGGATATGAGTCGGTGGCTGACGGAACCGGTTCTGCCCTGCTTGGAAAAATTCATCCAACATAATCGCAAGCTTGCCGCCGAGAGAGCGACAAACCACAAGGGTTCGGCGCCTCACACGCGGGGAAGTCCTGCCGGAGTGGGGTCGGTCGCGGATCTTGCCGGCCCCCTTTCTCTCCTATCCAAAGAGAAGAAAGGTGGCTTTGTAGTCTTCAAGGACATTTTCTTTCCGCGAGCCAACATCGATCTGCTCTCGCTGAGTGATAAGGATGGCAAAAACCTGTTGGGGGAGGAAAAAAATCGTTGGTCTAAGACGACGCGACTCCGATACCACTACGACTTGGACTACGTCTTTGACCCGTTGGACATCGGTGTGGTGGTGGGGCGGACAAAGGTTCAACTCAAACGTGGAGGGAAGATCCAGTTTGTGAAGGTGAACACTTTCAGGAGCGGTCGGTACATTCTGGAAGACGGGACGATGATCGGTCAATGGGAGCTTCTGTCCAAGCGGCATGGAAAAGGCGTGACGCTGGAGCAGGACGTTGCGCGGTACATTCGACAACTGGCCGCCGCGCACACCACCACCCTGAGTCAAATCGTGCCGTTCATCTCGGGGGGCGACACGACAATGAGTGATGGGATGCTGCTGGACGTCGACCGTGGTACGCAACGTGCGGCAGCCACCAAAGACAAGATAGACCCCGTGAGCAAGCTACCCCTGCGTCATCTCGAAGCAATAAAGAAAAAGACGGAAAGGGTCAGGCAGCTTTCTCTTGAAATCTTCACCAAGGCCAGCGTACAAGACCTCCTGCCCCCGGGACACAAAACAAGCCCCGGCATCAAAGCCTTCATTGAACGCGAGGAGTCCCTGAAGGAGCTCAACTTTATGCCTGACCTCGAGTGTTCAAAACCGATGATGTGGTGTCCGGGCATTTGTTCACGGGCCGGGTTGTGCGGGGGGGAACTGGTTGGGTACCTTCCGACAAAAAAAAAAAGCTCGGGAGCTGGTCAGCCAAGCTTACGACGCTCATTCGGGCGTGTATGTGCGCGTACCGCCTTGGACGCCCTAGCAACATCGTCGAAGCGTTCCACCCGCTGTCGGAGAAGGAGCTGGATGTACTGAGAAGCACTCATCCGTTTTGGGATAAGAACATGGATGAAAGTTTTGAAGATACAGAATTTACACACAGGGGAGAGCATGTTACCGGGAAGGACGGGCTTGGAGAGGAGCACGAGTGGGCCTATCGACTTATCGTCGAGAGGTCGAAGACGTTCTACAGCTATTTGACGCCGGTGATTATCAATGCCTGCGGGACTCGAGATCCGTTCGAATTCCCAGCGCTGGCCCTCAGCTCGCTGGACACGAACCACGTCAGTCACACACGTTGTTACGATAAGCTCCTGGACAAGGTGATGAAAGGCTCCCCGTCTCTGGACATCGTCAAAGGAGTTTTGAAAGAGTGCGAGCGATTTTTCCAGAAGGCCAGGACCGGTAGAGATGGCTGCAATGCGGAAAGACATGGCGCCCTGGGGGGAGAAGGGAGGAAATCACGCCGGGACAGAGTCATCCTGCAACCCGATGCCGAGGACAGAAAATTTACGCTCCTTATGGCTTTCCAGATGTCCATGGGCGAAAAAGTGCGACCACTGATGGAGGCGGTGTTGAGGCACTCGCCTGACTTTGAGCTTCGGGCCGCCACCTGTCTCATGAACGCGAACTTGGAATCTGGTAGTTTCTCGGTGGTAGTCGGAGAAGATCATCTTCTCGGTCGCACGCCGCAAGAGAAGAAGGAGGGGAAGGCGTGGATCGCGGGAGTGGTCAAGGGATTGAAGGAAGATGTCGAGGAATGGAATTGTCAGGATTGGTGCCGATTCAGCGTGGTTACGCAGCTGGGATGTCTTTTCAACGCAGCCTGCCTCCGACAAAAGCCAGCACTGAATCTCTCGGCCAAAACCGCGTACTACAACAACGACCAGGGCAGAATTGCGATGAGGCCACCCAAAAAGGGAAAGCAACACAGAACGGCGAACAAACGCCTCGACACGGTGCTGAAGGAACACGAGATCCATGGCGCCGACGTCGTCCGGTGGGTCATGGTGATGAGCCTCGTTGGGCGCGCTTTCCTACGGGAAGACAACAATGGCGTTGTAGACGAAAGTTTTGGTCCGCTGAATTCAAACGGGACGCAGATCACCGCGGACACGTTCGGCAAGATTTTTAAGGTCATGAGGGCGTATTTTGGAGTGGACAACGCGGACGTTTACTCGCTGAGGACCGCACATGACTCGCAGGCCGTCAAGGACCTGCTTGCAGTGGGGGGAAACACGGATCACCCGGCCATGGCCGAACTGGCGAGGGAGCAACAAACCGGAGGAGATGTGAGTGCCGTGATGTGTGAATGCGAGGTAGACGGTAGATTGGGTACAGTTGACGCCTGCACTTCAAGACAAAAAAATTCTTGCTTCTGGTGTCGAAACCAATTTCCTACTTTTTGCCGCAGCGTCTGGCTTGTGCGACCATCTCAAATGTGCTTACTTTTTTTTCATATGTTTTGGTTCATTTGAGACTGCAATTCTGAAAGCGAAATATGCGAACCACTCACATTCTACTAAACACACACAAACACACACTCCTTTGTTTTGTCGGGTGACAACTCTCTCGTTTCGTTTATACATCAACCCCAGAACCTTGTCGGAGCGTACTGCACGTACCAGTTCGACCGCGTAGCTCCTCAAGTAAAGGAAAAAGTTGACCTGCACTTCAAGGGGGGGCTTCGGTGCATGGGCGTGGAGAAGAGGAAGAGGGAGGACCTACCGGAGTTTCCAGACTCTGACTTGTGGCACATCCCTGAGTTTGTAGATAAAGTGAGGGCTATGATGGAGATGACACCACCAAAGGTACCCGAGAAGGTCATCAAGGACTTTGGGGATGATACTGATGATGACTTAGCACTGACGGCACCGGCTTCTTCGAGCATGAGCATCGAGCCGAAATCGGGCGACGGTTGTGCGCCTCCCCCGCATTCGGGAGGGCCGTCGTATGGTGGCCCCTCGTACCCCATCGACGCGGAGGAGGCCATGGTTGCAAAGCGAGTCAGGATGAAAACGATGCTGTTGGAGGAGGAAAAGGTTGATGAGATGCGTGCCGCGATACGAGCGAGACGGGCGCTGTCCTCCGTCCCTGCTGCCGTCGGGGGTGGTGTCGATACATCTGGAGCTGCAACTGCCTCTGTTGATTCTGGGCCTGCGGCCGATTCTGGGGAATCTTCTAAGAGTGCTGCTTCTGCTTCACGTCGGGGCATGTCCTATAACAAGGTGAGAACGTGAGTAGGTTGTTGTTTTCAATGACTGATACGTGATGAACGCAAACGTGTCTTGAAATCAAATCTCAAATCCGCCAATGTGTTTGAATTTCTCGTGTATTAACGACCTGTGGTCGGAAGATGAGTGCATCGGGATGCAAGAGCTAGCACGGGCTGTCGGCGAAGCTTGGAAACGGGCTAGAAAGAGAGGAGTCGAAGACGCTGTTTACAAGAAAATGAACGGCGTGCGCATGCAGTCTGCAACACTGAATTTGGTTCGGTACTTGCAACGTGACGACAAAGACTTTCAGCCGGGTGATTGGTTCACCAATAGTGATTTCTTCGACACCAAGAGTTCAACGGGTTTCGACAGGAAAGTTGAGGAAGTACGGAAGAAAGTAGATGGTTGGACATGGGGTTTATGGAAAAGCTGACGTGTCTGCATGCAGCGAAGTAGACGAGAATAAGGAAGGCTAGATGATGTTGATGGTGCGTGGTGTGTGAGATTTGTTTGTAAAAGTTCCGGTGGTTATAAAAGAAGTGTCTGTCACATACGGGGCCTCGTCTCCGGACGTTAAACGTGCCTATAAATCCAGGATTCGTGCGTAGCACACGTTCATCGTTCTGGCGATAATTTTGCGGCAATCTCCGCATGAGAAATCTGTACGGGTAAGAGTTGTTGCTCGTTCGTTCAACCTCAGTCATTTTCACACAACCAGCAACATGGCTTCTCTCAGTGACGCTCTCTCGCCCGATGGCACACATGCCTCAAACGAGAGCCACTCAATTGTGCACTCGAAAAAGAACGCGTCAAACAAAGTTAGCGAGAGGGATGTCCGGGATGCGCTTGCTCGCCAGACCCGAGGCCAAACCGAGTGGGGGACCCCGGCAGGCTCCATCGACGTTTTCACGAGAGACGAAGTAATCGAGATCAAACACTTCAAAAATTGGAAGAGTGGGGTCGGTCAGGTTAAGGCCTACGGAGAACACCATCCCTCACACAAACAACGCCTACATCTCTTCGCACATGAGGGAGAGAAGGCTCTAAAGTACTTCGAAATGGCCACGAGATTGTGTGCAAAGGACGGCATACGCGTTACATTTGAAGAAGCAGTGTCTGGAAGCGACAGCCTGGGAATAGAGGTGGTGGATGGGGCCGACGTGTTTGGGAAAAGTGTTGCCGATGCCACGGGTCTACCTGTTGTTCCCGGTGATTTCGAGAACCTCGAGAGAGGTGGAGCTCCCAGTGCCCACGTCGCCTCTGAGCCCGTCTCCGCAGCTCAGACACATACGGTTGATTCGGGGGCTAGGCCCGCTGTTGTCATCGGTGGTCGCGATGACGTTGGTGCGGGTGGTGCTGCCGTAGCCACAATGGATGATGACGAGAAAGCTTTGGCAAAGAAGGTGCGAATGAAGTGGTTGGAGAATATGTTGAAGGATGAGGAGGAGCTTGCCGCGATCAAAGCCGGGGCTGTAGTCAGAGGGAGTGGTGCCGCCGGGGGGGATACTGCTACTGGATCTGTGACTGGCCCTGCTGCAATCGGTGAGGCTTCGCAGGCGATGAAGAGTGGTGGCGCTTTTCCCGGCGCCGGAGGAGACAAGAAGGTGAGCGCGATTACAAGTATCAACTCATTAGTTGAGAATAGGTAAGGGTGTGTGTATTACAGTGGTCAGTACAAGTGACACGTGGATTTTTAACTCCGCTCATACGTACTCTCGCCATTTCCCTCAGGCTGTTGGGAAGAGGACTATCGACGCGGTACACGGAAATGGACGAGGACCTGGTGGCGCAAAAATGGAGTACAGTGCGGTGAGTGTTGGTGTTGATAATAAATTGTGGAAAAATACAGAGATGTGTCTTGTATAATATTTGGTAAGTAAAACTGGCACGTGGATTTCAACCATCCTTTATTTTCAATTCGAACACACAGGGGAAACCGAAGGACGATATCTGCGCCGGGATGAAGACGCTTGTTGAAGCAATAGGACAAGCTTACGAACGAGCAAAGGCAGAGGGGGGCAACAAAAAGGTTCTTGCTCGCAGGAACCACAAAAAAGACGGCAGGCCAAAGAGGGCAAAGATCGGCCTGGTGAACTGGTTGGTAGCCAATGACGACGAGTTCAATCCAGGCGCGTGGTACACAGAGAGCAAGTTTTCAAAGGCCACCAACGTGGATGCATTCTATAGGCTGTTTGAGAAAGTAGAGAGATACACTGACGTGAGGTGGCTATCGTGGCTTTCGAGCGAAACAAGTACTGATGCGGCGCCTGTCGCGTAGTCGTGTTGGCAGCAGGTATGCGCAGTGAGCGTTGCTTGTGCTACACATGTCTGCTGCGTGTGCTTTGCGTGTCTGCGTTTGTCGGCGTCTGCTGTTGATCGTAGTTCTCGAAATATATTTGTTGCCATTCGGACGAATGCTGTCTTTAGCAAATGCGGGGGGGGGGGGAAGAGTGCAGTAAGAGGGCTGGCTGTTGGTCGTTTGTTGGGCTAGAAATTATAAAGAAGGAATCAACTGGAAGTTTCTGCACCAAAGGAGCGTTCTCTCTCTTCACACACACACATTCATCGCACCCTCGCCTCGCCAGGCACGTCACGCGGGACACGTGTGATCAATGATGCTGTACAGGTACACATGTACTTACAATCCGCAGTACTGCTACTGCTGCACTGCTGTACTGCTGCACTGCTGCACTGCTGTGCACAGGTACAACGTCGGACATGCTAGACAGATAGATACACACACATACACACACACATGTAGTCTGCTTGAAGGTATTCTTGCAATGTATCTACCTGCGCATAGCTGCTTGGTACAGCACTTTGCATGTCGCAAACCCGATGTGCGAACAAAGGAGAGAAGACTGCTGTGGACCCATGCTCTTCACCTCGCGAGGGTCGTAGGCTTTCCCCCTCGGGCCAAATTCCTTCCCCAACCACGGCAGTACTGCTGTACACAGGTACATCGACAGCGTCCGCATCCAGCAAACCCAGTATGCGAACACAGGAGAAAAGACTACTGTGGTACCCACGCACTCACCTCACGCAGGTCACAGGCTTTCCCCCTCGGCCAAATACCTTCCCCAACCACGGCAGTCCTCCCGGTTTTACGAACATCCTCCACGCAAGCGACCATTGACATGTGAAAGGGAAAGATGATGGAACCCACACCCCAGCAGTCGCCAGCAGTCGCCAGCAGTCGCCAGCAGTCTCCAGGGGGCGGGGGCGTGCACTGCTGTTGAATGTGGTGCACACACGCTGCTTGGTGCTCAGAAGCAGCAGCAACAAAAACAAAAAGAGAACCAAAACTATTGGAACGGTTACTTGAAGCGGCTAGATTAAATCCACCGGTGGCACCCCTCCACTTCCCCCCTCCTCCCACAACCCACACACACCCTTCAAAGGCCACAGCTGCAGCAGCAGCATCAGCGCGGCGGCAGCACAGCAGCAGCAGCGCGGCAGCAGCACAGCAGCAGCACACCACAGCAGCAGCAGCAGTCGCCACGACAGCCTCGCCGGGAAGCCGGGACACAGCGGCGGTGAAGGTGAGATGCGTCACGTGATGGAGGAGCGGCTTTGCTTTTTCTAGAGGTTTTAGAGGTTTGAGGAATTTGAGTGGAACCTAGCTCATTCCACGCGAGCACGTGATGTACACCCCACGCGATGCCTGGCGTCCGAGGGCATTCGACACTGTGGTGTGGAAAAAAATCCCGGCCCCGCTTGTGTGTAGCCGAGGCCTGGTGCACGACCGCCTTGTCGGGTACGTGGATTGGGGCATGTATTGCCAATGTCGCGTTCACACCCTCTTTTTTTTGGCGGGCTGTGACAGCTGTCTCCTTTTTGATGCTGTCTCCTTTTTGATGGATCCTCCGTTCGCCATTCAAAGTGGGCTTTTATGTCCACAAGTTACCAACACGAACAGTTAGGGGTGTCAATCGGCCAAATTTCCTATAGGAAAAAATTTGAAAAAACGACCTCGGATCTTGCTGATGGAAAATCAGCTGGCCAATTAAATTGCACGGAACGGTCCGAAAGCTCCCCAAAAACAGCTGACGTGTACGCGCGAGGGCGCCGTTGCGCCGCTCGTGTGTGAGCTCTGATATGCACTGCTGCTGTGGGCACAACCACAACACCTCTGCGCGGTTCCACTCTACAACACATGCCTTATAACACACCCGAGCAGCAGCCGGGCGGTGAAGCCACGCCGACACCTGCCGCCGCCGCTACTGCTGCTGAAAAAAACGGCAGCAGCTGCAGCAGCGGCGGCGGCGGCGGCGGCAGCGAGGTTGAGCCGCCCATCATTCACGCGCATCGCCTGGGGTGTGTTCTACACGTCCTGCACATCTCTATCACTGCGGGCATGACTAGTGTGTACTTCATGGGCCCGCTTGGTAAGGGTTCCTGGCATGAGTGGGAGCGCGACCATGTTTTCTCCCTTCTTGGTATGGTTTGGTACAACACAAGCCGCTCGGAATCCTCGAACGCCAATTTTCAGCGGTGGAAGAGGGTAGTGCAGCAGCAGTTCCCGGACGCGAAGCCATGGCTCATCAAGTTGGTCAGACCTGCCGAGACGCGTTGGATGGTGGTTATGGACGGGGCCAAGCTCCTGTGTAAACGCTGGGAGCAGGTTGAGTGGCTTTTTTGCGAGTACGCTGCTCGCAACCTCAACAAGACCACATTCAGGAACTACTGGCTCCAATCGGCGTACATGCTGCGAGACCCTCTGGTTCGTGTGCATGTTATGTTCACGGCAAGGCTCGGGGAGCTGTTGTTCGACTGGGCGTACAACTGGATTCGTGGCAAGGGCGGGTTCTTTTTGAAGGGCGAAGGGGTCGGTCGGCAGCTGTTTCCTGGGATGCGTTTGGTGGAGGTGGCTGATTTCTCTCGCCTGCTGCTGGTCAAGTTGGAGACTATCCGCAAGGACCCCAAGACCTACTTCGCAGCGGTCCTGGAACGCGTTCAAACAACCCTATCTGAAGCGATGGTGAGTGGTGGCGGGCCTGAGTATTGCAGTTTGGAACAGAGAGGGGTTCAGCCTGGAGCTGCTGCTGCTGCTGCTGCTGCTGCTGTGTGAACGGCCGTGGTGGTTTGCAATATCGCGAATTTTCACGTTTTTTTCTCTCTCATCAACTTGCTTTCGTCGTTACCCCCTCCACATTTCTCCGCACCCTCTTGCTGCTACTACCTCCCTCTGCTTGTCGCGCCACTACCTCTCACTGCTTGTAACGGCTGGTGCTTGTCGCTAGTACTGGTGCCACTGCTTCTGCTTTTTGCCTGGTGACACTAATGTTTTTACCGCTTGAACTGGTCGCAAACGCTGTCGCTGTCGTGCTGCAGGCGAAATTATTCATGACAAACTTCAGTGAGGACAAGGGTTTTTTGCCGAGTTCAAGCAGCGATGGATCAAGTGGATGGAGCGGCATCAGCAGCTACCTCTGAGCATGGCGCGGATTGGATGCCCCTCGTTTTTCGCTCGGACAGGAATCATGGGGGAAGGGGCTGTAGAGCAGGCGGTGGGGCCGGAGTTTGCGCGTGCCTTCCTTCATGTAGCTTGGTCTGCTCTATACGAGGGAGAGCCGCGCACGGAAAGGGAGAGGGAATACCGAACGCAGCTCGTGAAGGATTTGGGGGGAACCACCGATGCAAGAAGGAAAGATGAGTTGACGTTCGGGCTGTTTTCACGCATTGATAGCGACCGTTCTGTGAGGAACGAACTCGAGCAGTATGCGAATTCTGGGTGGGGTGACAAGGAGGTTGACCAGGGTGCACCAAAGGGTACGTCAGCGTTGGCGCGTCTGTTCGATTTTCCCCTCCTGTACAAGTTGGTGTGTCACCGATTCTACTTTGTTCCCATTCACCAGCAGTTGATCGAAGCCTTCTTTTCGAAGTTCGACTCATGCGCACAGAAGACGGACATGGCTGAGATGGATATTGTTCGTGTTGGGGGGTGGAAGTCAGCCGAGTCTAGAGATATCGTGTGCGCAGATGCGACGGGCGAAAAAATCCGTGCCGCTGGCAAAAAGGTTTTGGAGAAGGCAAGGGAAGCAAAGGCTGTCTCCCACGCACGAAAACCGGCCGAAAACTTGAGCAGAAAAAGAGTATTGGAACCGGAAGCTGCAGATGATTTGCTGGTTACGTTAGAGAAGGAAGGGAATCGGCGGCCGCGGGTGACCGCAGCAGAATTAGAGTCGGAGTAAATGTGGACGGCGGTTGAGTGACGTTGCTTTCAAGTCGGAAAAAAATCGTCGGAAAAAAATCGTCGGAAAAAAATCGTCGGAAAAAAATCGTCGGAAAAAAATCAACAGCGAAACATTACTTTCACAAACATCATTTTATCGCTCTGCCTCTCCGTGTGCAACACCACCATCATGTGTACAAAACGAAGGCTGCAGCTCAGAAGGCCGCAGGTAGATAACGACAGAGTCGAGCGTCGTTTGCTATCTCTCACACCATGCTTCTCAACGCTCTTGTTGAGTGCGTGCTCACGCGCACGAACGCATCAAAAATCACAAAACTTCTCGTTCAACTTCAACTTCGGTCACACGCGAAAAGACCTCACGCGTACGAAGGAAGCTACTGAAAACAACCCTCCCACCACCACATGACCTCCACAACAAAACGCATCCAACACATGACATCTAGTTGCAAATAGAGACGCGAGCATCTCTGAAGAAC